AGTCGTCAATGAATAACAAGAAATACCTGTTTTCTGACATTGATGCAGTTTGCATTGGACCACAGATGTCAGTGTGAACTAATTCTAGTGGAAACTGAGCTCTCCAAGTAGATTCTGCAGGAAATGAGTCTCTATGTTGCTTTCCTAGCTTGCAGCCTTCACAAACTGCAAGATCCTTCTCCAGACTAGGCAATCCATGAACCATGTCCGATTTGCCAGCAGCCTAATGCTTTGATCATTAAGGTGCCCCGGCCTTTTATGCCAAGTTTGCAAGCTGTGAGTCACACTTGCTCTCAGCACCAACTGAGTAGCAGGTACCATTGTGAGAGGAAAACATCTATTGCTAGTCATTGGAACCTTAGCTATAGGATTTTGCAGTGACCACCATTCCCTTTCCAAATACTAAGCAATACCCATGTTCCATCATCTAACCAACACTGAGCAAATTCTCTTCTAAACCAGGCACCAACATCACCTCTTGAATGTGTTTTCTGCATGTCTTAGTTTCTATCACAAGTGTGCCTTTCCCTGCAACTTGAACTGTTTCTCCAGTCCCCATTTTCACCTTGGAAGTTACATCCCTTCTAATATCTACCAGTAGCCTTTCATCTCCAGTCATGTGGTTACTACAACCACTGTCCACATACTAAGAATTGTTCAACTTCACATCTGTCATGACATTGCATGCAAAAAACAGTGTTCCAGCTTCTTCAACATGATTGGCATAATTCACCTTCTGTACAGATTGATTTCCATGACAATCTCTGACCATGTGTCCAAACTTTCCACATCCTCTGCATTTTGGTTTTCCCTCAAACCAGCACTTGCCATAGTGCAATTTTTCACAGTGCTTGCAAAGTGTTTTGGTTCCTTCATTTGAAGCATTTGGTTTGGGGTTAGAATTAGACTTGTTACTCCAATTCTTCCCATTTCCCTTCCAGTTCTTCTGAGACTTGTTACTTCCAAAAGAGCTTCCATTCTTGGAACTTTTACTCTCTATGTTCAGGCTAGTAAAAGCCTTTTCTGTGGAATTTTCAGTGTGCCTATCCAATCTGAGCTCAAAGTTCTTGGGGAATGCAACCACTTCTTGAATTTCAAGAGTGTCAAGATCCTTGGAATGCTCAATCACAGAACATATAGAGTCATAAGATCTAGGCAAGCTAATAAGCAATTTCTGCACAACTCTTTCTCTAGATAACTCTTCACCATAACTTTTCATTTGATTAATTAGATCAAACAGTTTGGCAACATAAACAGAAAATGATTCACTATCCTTCATACGAGTGTATTCAAACTCTCTACGTAAGCCTTGTAGCTTGACACTTCGTACCTGTTTATCGCCTCTAAACTCCTGCTTCAGAATATCCCATGCACCCTTTGAGGTTTCTTCATTCACTATTCTGGGAAAAATTTGGTATGAGACTGCACTTTGGATCAGCCCAAGTGCACGAGCATCCTTCATCAAAATCTCAACCGACGTGGACTTCTCTTCTTCAGCAGCCATAGATCCTTCTTCCTTTCCTTTTCCCTTCTTTGGATCTGAAGCATCAAAACCATTTTCAACCAAATCCCACAGCCCATGAGATTTCAAAATGGTCTTCATTCGAATGCTCCAAAACTCATAGTTTTCTCTATTGAAAACTGGTGTACGAAGCTCAGCAGAGCTTGATCCTGCCATGTTAGACATCGGATTCAACCAGAGATGCTTCGTGAAGTTTTGAGTGAGCTCAACGTCAGCTCAGCCAAAACACCAGCTCTTGATTCTCACAGATTCATGCCCAGCAACCAACTGAACCTGGCTCTGAGGCCAGGTTAGAATTCTATGGTTGTATCTGTATTTTTAGATTTAGGAAAGATGTATATTCTAGGGATTTTTGCTAGAGAGAAAGAAGAAGAATGAGAAGGCACTGTTCTATATCATTTTCACAAACAGTCTGCTTACATAGTATGACTGACAAAATGAGAGAAATGTGATTCTTCTATAACAGAATTACAACTGTCACCCTATGAGGTGCTTACACTTGTCATGCCAAATCTAAGCTAGAGAATCCACCTGGACTATAATCCAAAGGCTCTCATTACATCATATAAACTAGACATAAAAGTAAATGAGAAATAAGCCTTGGTGACTTTGGCTCTAAGAAAGCAGCATAAAGGATTACATTTCAACAAATTCTTTGGCTGTTTCTTGGTGTAGGGGCGGGACTGTTCTGGTTAGTCTCTTAACTGGAAGTTTATGTCAAGTGATTCTAAAGCATTTTGAGACCTGAACAATTGGGTACATAATACATGTAACAAGAGGGAAGACAGTTGTCATCGTTTTCCCTTATCAATTGATTATCCTTTGGTTTTAAAATTACTACTAATCTTTTACTCTGCTCTAATTTATCAAAAATAATATTTTCATTATTTGAGAAATATACTATATCTGATAGTTTACATTACAAGTTCTCTATAGGGCTCAGCAAATGTTGGGAAATCAGCATTCATCAATGCTTTGCTGAGTAAGTTAATGACATTCATTCTGTGTTCAGCCTTTGGTAGGCATGTAGCTTATTCAAGATTAAAGTTAGTGTTTGTACCATATTTGGAAAATGGGCCAAAATGGTATAATTCTCGAAAAAGATTTATTAAGCCCAGACCCAATATCTTTCCTCAAGAAAAGACAAAAAGAGTGTTTTGATTTTGGGCCAACGGTGAGTAAAAACTTCGTAGAAGCCCACAGTGCTAAGGGACTCTAACTTTGGTCCACACTAAAAGTTAAGAAAATTGGTAACTGTTGCACATCGACCCACTTGAGGGTCTGAAGAAGGATTGTCACCATTAATGGCGACTTGACCGCCTTCTCTCCCAACAAGAAAAGTGAGCTGGATAATATCGAAGAAACTGATTACCAACTGAATTTCCAGTTACAAGGACTCAAGTCAGAAAAACATCTCTTATGACCAATGTTGGTCCTATTCTTAACAACTAAAATGAGTTTTTAAAAATAGTAACTTTAATTCTCGCAAGTGCATGAACTGGTTATAGTATAGCTTATGCAAATACGAGGTCAATCCCACGGAGAATGGTAACTTGGTTCCAAGTTAAATTACTTAGGATGCTAGAAAAACATAAAACAAAGAAATTGACTAACTAACTAAAGGCAAAGTCAAATTCAACAATGCCTCTTGCTAATTACTCAGGGTCTAGGACAGAATCCTAGCACCACATACGCACTCGAAATTGGGGGTTTTGTTGTTGAAATGATGACATGAAAGTGAAAAGAAAGTGCTGGAAAGTAAACACTGGCAACAATCAACAAGTTGTGAAACAATGAGTGAGAGGTGTTAGAGCCTTGGAATCGACCACTAGTCTTCCTATCCAAGTTATGAATGCATAGAAATTGACTCAAGCTTCATCAACAATAGATTATCGCATACAAGCCTATGGTATATAGGTGCATGATGCATGATTCTTCTAAAGCATGTGATTGTGAATGGTATCTACACAACACGTGATCTCTAATATGCAACCTAAGCATGGTCTCTACTTAGAATAAAGCATACAAGAGTCATTAAGCTCCTTGAGAATATGATAATCACACAAGTCCTAGAACATGGTATCTATCTTAGTTAACCTATGGTTATTAACCCCTTGAGTGATTCTTAGGCCATTCATGTGTTGCTTGTGAAAGGAGAGTAGAATTGGTGAATCTAAACCCCTTTCCAACCTGTGCTAGATGCTAGTTAGTTACTCCAAGAAAACATACATCAAGCACATAATAGACTGGAGATTAACAACTTGAGAATGAAAGTAAGGAAATCTATTAACTATAAAATCATCCACAACATTGAATATTCATGACTAGGGCTTTATCCTAAGCCCTAACTAAATGGCTTAGTTAGACATAACTATGAATACAGAAATTAAGAAATACATAGATAGAAAAAAGAGAAGAGAATAACTAGCTGGTGGCAGCAAGGTAGTTCCCAGGACAGCTCCAAGTTTTCCCTCCTTTGCAACTAGCTCTCTTTTCTCTTTGTGGTGAATTTAAATGTGTGAGTAATGGATGAAATGAATCTCTCTCTCTCTCTCTCTCTCTCTCTCTCTCTCTCCCTCTTGAATGAGTGTGCAGCTCTCCATTTATAGAGTGCCAATTTCGTCCTCCCTTTTGACTGGTGAAGCACACCTCTCTTAGCTGCCGGAGATTAACAACTTGAGAATGAAAGTAAGGAAATCTATTAACTATAAAATCATCCACAACATTGAATATTCATGACTAGGGCTTTATCCTAAGCCCTAACTAAATGGCTTAGTTAGACATAACTATGAATACAGAAATTAAGAAATACATAGATAGAAAAAAGAGAAGAGAATATGCACAGCTCACAAAGACATCCTTAAGTGTAGTGTGTGAATGCCGAATCAGAACAACACCCGCAACTCAAATGAGTACATGCGCGCACATTTAGAGAAAAATCAAGAATTCCAAACCCCATAAGCTCATTATCAAATCAGCTCTCCACAATAATACCATACAATACCGAGGATCAAAAGGACTTTACAACAGTTGTAATGAGGCTTAGGGTAGTGGCTGAATGAAAGAGGCATGGATGTATAACAACATCTTGAGCACAACTAAAGCACATGTAAGAGCATGAGAGATTACTAAACTTTGTAACGAGCAAGGAACACATACATGAGCATATTTTCAACATAATTTTAGCACCTTCATATCTGTTTATTTGGCCTAATTTTGTTGCTTTTTACCCTAGATCACCATGATCTTCTCCTTATAACACCTTAGGGGGTGACTACACACTACTACAAAAAGTGAAAAAGACGACCATAAAAAAACGACGGTGTAACGGAAAACCATCGTTGTGTTTGAAAAGACGACGGTTTTATAAAACCGTCGTGTAAGAATAACTTAAACACCTAAAAAATGGGGAATCCAATGATTGTTTTTAAAACACGTAACACCTATTTTAAAAAGCGACGTTTTATTGAGAAAGGTTTTCTTTAGAGTAAACTCGGAGCCCACAAACAACGACAGAATGTATGAATCAACCGACGTAGAAAGTAAAGACGATGGTTTAAAGAAACAGCTGCCGTTTTTTCTCCGCAATAACCACGATCAAGTTTTCGTATTCGGCGTCGCATAATTTTAGAAGAACCCACGGCGGTATATTACAAAATACCGCTGTCTGAAATACATGTACAACGACGTAAAATATAATTTTATCGACTTATCTCATGTTCCAAACTACGACGGTATCTTTAACTCTAACCACGTTGGTTTGTTCAATTAACATCGTGTAATAATATTTACTATGTCATGAAGTTAAAATTACCGTCGTATTTATTTACTTTATATGTCTACCCTTATACCTAAACGGTCGTCTTAATTACATTATTTTTTACTATTTATTTCTTGGATTTTGGTATCCTACGACGGTAGACCAACTTAATGACAAGAATTGAGAATAACCACGACGGTTTATATAGAAAACCGTCGACAGAATAGATTTTTCTGAGATCCAAGATATACGTCGTGAAGTTAAAATTACCGTCGTATTTATTCACTTTATACGTCCGACCTTATATCTAAACCGTCGTCTTAGTTGTAATTTTTTTTTCTTGAATTTTGTCACCCTACATCTGTAGATCAACTTAATGTTAAGAATTGAGAATAACGACGACGGTTTATATAGAAAATAGCCGACAGAATTAGATCTGAGATCCCAAGAGTTACGAAATCTTACCAGATGAAACTCTGCTCCTCATCATAATCGGACCACAGAAAGACAATATTTTAGAGGTTGATGATGTATGAGTCTTCGTGTCTTTGAAACACACGAAGGCACATACACATCAACATCCAAAAATTTACCTCTAAAATTTGACGACGGCAGCCATAGATTTGCATTAGAAAGGCATACACAAATGCACACACATCATCAACTTCCAAACAATTGCCACTAAAATTTGACGACGACAGCCACAGATTTGCATTCAGAGAGACAATTTTTTGAATGTTGGTGATGTGTGTATATTTGTGAATCAGATACACAAACATACACACACACTAACATCCAAACAATTGCGTCCTAAGAGGTGAGACAGAGCCAAGGGCAAGAAGAAATTGGAACCCTAATTGAAGATTGAAACTGAAAGAAATAGTGGAAAAAAACTCAATTTATATAACCTAAGAGGTGAGACAGAGCCAAGGGCAAGAAGAAATTGGAATCCTAATTGAAGATTGAAACTGAAAGAAATCGTGGAAAAAAACTCAATTTATATATAAAAAAATTCATATCCACGTTGGTTACATTTAAAATAACGCCGTTTAATAAAGAATCAACGTCGGTTCTGGGAAAAATTAGGACGTATTAAACATACAAACAACGTAAGTTATTAAAATTAAGTCAACGAGGTTTTTGAAAACCACATCGGTTTAATATACAAAAACGACGTGATAACTTATAATATTACTTATTTAAAAGTAAAGTTTTGACGTGTAGTGCCCAACTAACCACGTTGTTTTCGGAATACAAAAGTCAAAAAGCTTTTTACTAACTACGTCGGTTCATATTATTTTAATGTCATCGTAACTACATACTAGGTCGGTTTCTATGACCACCGTCGTTGTATTTATCTTGGGACACTATATAAACTTTTTGGTCACCTGACCTA